TATATATATATGCTTGGTTGCTCACAAACAGAATAAAAGAAATCATTCTCTCTATAAAAAGAGGAGAATAAATCAAATAATTGTATTGGGGTGATCGTGGCTGGGAATCGCATCTGTAACCGGAAGGTCGCCGGTTCGATCCCTGGGCTCTCTGTCCTGGTCGTTGTGTCCCTGGGCAAGCCACTTTACCCTACCGCCTACTAGTGTTGGCCGATGGCGCGATATGGCAGCCTCGCTTCTGTCAGTCTGCCTGAATAGTGGTATTGTAAAGCCTTGAAAAGCGCTATATAAATGCAATCCATTATTAGTAATTATTGGGCAAATGTACTCCTCCTCTGTTCAAAGGCAGAATGCAGAAGGTGGGTGGTATTGTCCACAACTGACTCAAAGCTGGACAGTGATCTCTCTTCTAACATTGCCTCCACAGTGTCCAACTAGAGCCCAACAACCTAGCCTGCCCTTTCCTGTAGATAAAGTTAGTGTTCAGAGTGTAGTCAAGTTTATTGTATACTTATAGCACATGACTATCTACAGGACATGACAGCCAACCCTATGTTGACTGGCTGTTGGAAAAAAGGGATTTCTCCAGAAATCCAGCACCATCTCCTTAGTTTGTAATTATTCAGGTGCAGTCGGTACCTCCCACACTACCCCTCAAAGTCACTCACTGGTTTCCTGTATTCTGCCTCCTTAATCCCCTCAATGAATGCGAATGCAACTGTATCATCCCAAAATTTGACAGAACTTGGTATTGTAATGTTAGGCACCAGTACATTATAATTTTTTACAATAATTTACCTGCAACCATTGTCAGCAGATGTTTTCAAACATATTTAGCTTCATAATATTATATCAAGTTAATCTTTTTTTTTAATATATATATATTTTTTGGCCTTTTTTTGGCTTTATTGGACAGATACAGTGAAGCTTGACAGGAAAGCTACACCTAGACATCATTGATTCCTTTTATAACATATATGGATACAATGTATGGGCACCGCTGAGGGCAGAAAGCATCTCCAAGTCTCAAGCCAGCTTGAAAAGACTGGATTGCAAACTTTGGATTAGGAATGATTGAGTTTCTCTCTGGAGTGGAGGAATTCAAGTAATCTAGGGATTTGTTCACAAGTGGGAGAAGAATGGACCGTGTATTGTCAGATATTTCGGTGTCATGTCTGTGTGGTGATGCAGTGGTAATGGCAGAGATGAGCCCAAAGGCTTCCCCTCTTCATAAGTTTAAGACTATGGAGTCACGCAGTGGAAATTGGCTTCTTCAAAAAGGTGTCTGCCCTTGCCCATAGAGATGGTGGTGGAGGGAAAAAGGACTACGATCCAGACTTCAATAAATAATAAAAAAAATATTTATTCTGCTTGTGAGATAAGCCTTGTGATCTTGCTGATGAAAAAAAGTCATCCAAAATGAAATGCTCCACTCACCCTCATTGGGAAGTACTTCTATATCTGTCGTGTCAGTTCTGACTGTAGCTTTGTGGACACCGGTGTAGTACATGACTGACACCTGGCTGTGCAGACTGACACTGCGTTGCTGTGAACTGCTGTTTTTCAACGTGATCATCAGCTCTGCATCTTTTCCCATTTTAGGACCTTCACCATCTAGCGTAACTTCTAAAGAGACATCCTGAGCTGTAGGAGATGAATAAGCTTTTGCTTTGGAGCCAAAGCTACATGCTGTTTCCACAGCGATGCGTTCCTCATTTGAGCCTGAGAATGACAAGAAATGTTGAGATATTTGAATAAGTTATCCAACAATAATATCTCAGTTATAGCTCTTTTTAAATTTTTTGTGATCTCCTTTAAGTCTAAGTAAGTGTCTGCTTTTTTGTTTGATGCTACCTTCAGGATGTTTGTAAAGGTGGGTGATATCACTGCGTTCATTAGAGCCAACTGCTTTGGTGCTGATGGAGATGCCCACAATCTTTTTCTCACTGTATATTTGAGTGAAGGTCCCATCTGCATTCTTCTGCCAGTAGATTTTATCACTGTTCACCTGAGATATCAATGAGACATGCCATGAGAAAGAGATGGGGTTAGAAAATAAAGTCCCCACCACAAAGGAAGCTGTCGTGCATATATTTAATGCGTGCCATATGAATCCTTATCAGTATACAGTGTTTTCATATCTACTATGATAAATGCCTTCTACCTTCCCAAAACACAGTAAAGAAGAATATTTCACAAACCTCAGCAAACACAAAAGCCGTGTCACGTTTCAGGTAGACCTGACCATAGCGCACAGCGGCGAGAGAAGCAGGGCCACAGCAGTAGGTGCCCTGGCTGGTCTCTTGAGGCGTGGCGTCGACAGCCTGCCATCCTCCGTGGCCAGGAGGTAAGTCCTTACGAGCCATCCAGCAGTCATTCCACACATGGAAGTTCCTTCAGAAAACAATTATGGTTGGTAAACTAAAGTTATAGTGAAAACAGCTGTGGAAATTTTAGTTCTGTGTAAATCTGTCAAGTACTATGAGGTTTTTGTGGGTAGTTTTTACAACCTGTTGTAACAATTTTAAAGTAAATCAACCACATACCAATGTATAAATGAAGACACATGTGCTGATGTTGCCATCTTTGTATCGTCAGACTTAAATTATTAGGCTATACCACTTATCTTTTAGTTGTTTCCAAATACTGGTTGCTTGTACCACTGAGGAGTAACTTTAGATTAAGCCACTAGAGTCATGCAACGCTTAACCTCCTTCTTTGTAAGTCAAGGTAAATGTGACATATGGTGAACATACCAAATTGAGTCCACATTGAGGTTCTCTATAGGCTCCAGGTTCTCATCCAGGTACACATCTGTTGTCAATGAAACATCTGTGTCATGTGCTGAGCTGAAGTTGGTCACGGTTCGGGTGGGAATGCCTAAACACCGTAAAACTGAAAAGAAGACAATGGGTTTAATATCATATCAGCCACTTAGTTTGATCAAATAAACATATTGTAAGCTGAAAAAAGTCTAACCTGTAGTGACTACACCAGCAAAGACCCAGCATTGGCCATATTTAACAGGGGTTCCATTCTTTTTGTGGTATTCCTCAAGGATTTCTACACTTCCACTCCACACTGTTGGAGAAGTTCCATTTGAATAATCTCCTGACCAGTTTCCCTCCAAAACACCTTGGTCATCAGGGGAGTTTACCTGAGAAATAAAGGAAGTGTTTCATGCTTTCATGGTTGACTTTAAGGACAATACCCGAAATACCTTAAGTTAGCTAGGTTTTCTGTTTATTAATTCAAATCTGGACATTTGTTTTTTGCATTTGCATTTAATCCATAGTGTGCAGCCACCATTTGGCCACTTGGTATCCACTCCAGCTTTCAGCCACTGCCTGAGTTTAGGGGATTATGATATGGCATATGCGGTTTAACATATTTTACTGTTTGTTGTATGTCCAGTGATGTCGTTGTTAGTTAGGATCTCGTCTCACCATTGCTGAGATGATTCGCACCACATTAATTGGGTCACCCCACCCAGATGGAGAAGTTCCACTCTTTTCCATGACAAAGAGGCAAGCAGCCAGAATCCTGTCATTAAACTGATATCAAATGAAAGGAAAACATGAGGAGACCATGTCAGTTTCGACCGCTAAGCTTGGTCATTAAACATTAAGATTCAGAGCACCCTCACCTGTCCGTAGTTCCATGTCCTCGCTCCAATTTGATCCTTTGTGCCATAGTAGATTCGTCCAGTGTCATTTAGGATGTACTCTTGCCTTTCATCTTCAGAATCCATGTACACAATGTCATCTGACAGAAAATAGGAAAGGCTAAATTTTTAACTGGAAATAACACAAGGTCACTCTGAAGCATAGACTCTACAAGTAGGCTTTATCTTCTAAATTTGGTTTCTTTTCTATCACAGTTTCATGGTATTTTTACCACCCTAGATGTCTTTTATTAAACTGTCTGAGTCATTCTTGAAGGCTGTCTGTGGAGATTTATTTTGAACTGATGACAAGGGTATATCCATACTGTGCTTGTTGTATAAGAGCACCTCCTACACATATATTTGGAAACGATGGCATACGTCTGTTGTCGTCTGGTGACGCTTGTAATTTTTGTACTGAACTTTTGAGAGGTTCAGTAGTTGTCATTTTAGGGGCTGTCACTGCTTTGTATAGGGCATTATTTCAGAGAAATAGTGTGGTATTTTTGGAAAGATACACTCACTACAACATAAGAAGATGAAGCAGAACAGAAGGAGGGAGATGCTGGCAAGAAAAATACTCTTGCTAGCAGCATAACCTGAACATGTTATATTTAGTGATAACTGTGGGAAGATACTGCTATTTAGCACAAAAGATAGTAGCACCATAAGTGACCAGCCTACCACAAATAACAACACTGCAAACAAAAACTAACCCTTTAAAGCCTAAACAAAAAACAAATTTGTTTTTTTTAAAAAAATACATTTTAATTTCCATATATGATTTTTATTTTGTGTTGTATTTGATACATCTGGCATTTTTTTCTTGTTGTGTAACTTCTTTAGATTTATCAGGGGGAAAAATCACACCGATGATTTTGAAGTCACAAAACACTCACAAGAAACTGTATGTATCAAATATGATACACTAGGTGATTTAATAATTTTTTTATTTGCCATTCTCAATATGAGAATTTGATTTTCTTATTTAACACTAATGCCAGAGGACTTTATTCCAAAAAACTCCAAGTATGCAATTTTGTATGTACACAATAACCTACACAATAGCCTGATGTGGCCCAACCTAGAAATGTAACTGCACATCACCATCACCACAACCCACACAGGTATAAATACTGGTAGCAGGGTTGGCCACTTGCATAGGCTGCATTATAGGCTCTGCATAGATTCATTCCAGAAGTATAAATTAACCATAAGATGTCCATATTTACCTTGACACCAGGGGTTAAACAATATGTAGATGTCATTGGCAGGGTCATGTGTGGAACTGGCCGATCCATTTTGATTATTTGTTTCCACTGTGAGTTGATATCGGCCAATGACGGCTGTGGCTGGAGAATTCACCAACAGTTTTATCTTTTTGTCCTCCTGTTTCACAACAGCAGCCTCCCAGCGATCACCCTCCAGCTTCGCCACCAGTGGGATGATTACATGAGTTCCCTTTGCCACTACTGCCAGTGGACCTTAGTAGGTGAAAAAGAAAAGAAAAAAAGTGTTACTGGCTGTTATTCATAACATGCCCAAACAGTTACTGTGCTTTTTTTTAAGAATCACTTCCCTCAATTAAAACCACACCTGCATTCCCAGAGTATGTTTGAACAACAGAAACTAAAAAGAAGGAACACAGAAAGCTCTGTCCTGACAAGCTGTCTACACACACACACACACACACACACACCTTGCGTGACAGCATTTGATCTCAGCACAGCTGTACTATAAAAGTCTCCATGTTTTCAGCTTCACTGTTACTGCACTATCTTGACGTTTGAAGTTAGTGTGGCCTCATCATTATCAAAAGAAAGCTTGATCTTCAAAGACAACAAAAAAATAGTGTTTTCTATAATATATAAACTCACAATTTCCCACAGTACAAACAGCTGAAATGTTCAATTTGTTGCCACATTAAGGAGCTCTCCTTCTAAAGTGATTGTGGAAAACAACAGCTTTCCATGGCTATCACTCTCTACCCTCAGTGGGTGTGACCTTGTCTTGACTGTGTTTTCAAATGCCTTAAGAGAACTGATTTGCTTTTCTCCAGTTTCACCCTGAGATGTTTATCTGATTCAGTCATGGACAGACAGGCCACTGATTGTGTGTGACAAAAGGAATCGAAAGCGGCTCGCAAAGACATGAGGAAAATGAATGAAACGGCCATTGTTAAGAAAAAAGTAGTTGCCTCTGCATTATAGTGACCAAGAGGGAGGGAAAAAACAGACAGGAGATGCCAGGACAGCATAATGACTTACTGGCTGATGGGAAAGCAGCAGCTGTGCACCACTAGCCACCACGAGTGATAAAGATAGCAAGTTCATTAACATGGACAAAGACTACACCTTTACATAACCACTGAGGGACTCTAACCCAGTGACAGCTACTCGAGACTCTAACTCTGGTTCAGGGAAGACTTTATGATTTTCTTTTATAAAAACAAAAGAGAGCAAGAGATAAACAGAGGGAGAGAAACATAACACTCTCAGGCGCACAGCTCTGAGTGTGAACACATAAGCCCCTCCCACCTGATGTCTAAACCTTCTGTTTTCATGAGGCTGCCAATCAGAAGAAAATTGACTTAAAGGGATGTTACCGGGAAAGGAGAAAAGTTAATACAGCTTTTTTGTTGTTGTTTTTTCCCAAACAGTGGATGAAATGTTGGGGTTCAACATAACTCATGAGAAGATAAATTAGGATATTTTAAACTAAGAATCAAGAAAGAGTTACTAAGGCCTCTGTAGCTGAGTCCAAGAATGAAAAAATATCCTTGGAAAGGAGCAAGACTCCTTTATAATTCGACAAGCTTGTTAAATCTAACAGATAAATATGCATGATAAGTGCTGTAGATATTCAAGGAGACCAGTTGATGAAGCCTTCTGTTTTCTGTGGCTATTGCTCAATAATTGGGAAATAAATTATACCAGTGCACAAAAGAACTGTAATTAGCAGATGGCCATGACATTTTCAGACACTTCTGGGTACAAATGAGCAAAACCCAAAAAGTCTGATGATAATTGTTAAAGAGTTTACTCCTAATTGATGAGTAACTGCCACAACTTGACATTCTTACACTCTTGTTTTGTATCTTCAGTTTATGGTTTCCTGCTGCGCACGGCCTGCATTTCTGCAAAGCGACAGTAAACAGCTGCTGGCTAAAGATTCTAAAGACAACTATTCCTAGAAATATTGAGATTTGATAGTTCCAGGGTGTATTAACCCTTTTGTTTTCTGCCAGGCCTTTTCTCTGCCTTACAGGGGGAAAGAACAGAGAAGAAAAAACTGTCAACGTGCAGTTCACTGTGCCTGACACTTTCATTTTGTCAGGTGTGACGAGAATCACCTCCTTAAAATTTTTTGCAGGGCTTCCGAACCAAAAGGTCAGAGCATCTGTCAACTGTCACTCTCTTTCGCCTAAAAAATCCTCGACTATTTAAAACAGTGTGTCATTTTAGGCTGTGCTGTGATTAGCTTTTGTGCTGTGTGTCTGATGTGTCTCAGAGTACAGTCTTTAGACTGAATATAGGGTACTGTAAGCATGCCTGAAAACAGAGAGCTGGGGGCAATTTAGTTAGTAATGCAGTGCCATTCTGGAGAGCGGTGTTATGGTTTTCAAAAGCATAAAAACTGGCATTGTCTGCTGCTTTTGTTCTCCTGCTTATTGCTGGTATTACAGATGGCTTTTTAAATTAGTGTTCACGTTGAATGTCGCTGTTGTTTTTGTCTCAAATTATGGATAAAATAGGTTAGAACTATATTTTTTCCCTCTAAATGCAAAATCTAGAATTTAAAATGTATACATTATTATTCTGTCACTTTACCAAAACAAAACCTTTCATTAAACAGTGCATTATAGAGCCCACCTTTTCTGTAGCAGCAGCACTATAATTATTCTACTTAAGTGTCCCTAACTTGCTATCACACACAGCTGTAATTGTAAGATCTATATTGGTTTTCCCTGTCTGACAGCATTCAATTCTCACAAGCAGTGTGCAGAGACAGGCATGCACACTGGGTAAACAGGTGGCGTCCGAGGCTCATGCAGCTGGCAGTGGCAGCAGTGACAGTGAATTCTCAGTAGAAGGGATCTCTAGTATCAGCAGGACTAAAGACTGCATCTGTAAAACACTCTCCCAGGACCATAGCAACCCCAACTGTTACCATAGCAATCTGAACTAAAAAATCCCCTTCTCTCATCCCAGCCTTCCCATACTGTATATCTATAAGTATCTATTTCACACATCTATGCAGCCTCAACACACAATCAGCAAAAAAACACAGCACAAGATGTGAGCATAAAAGAAAAAAATGTCTTTTTTTTGTAAATTAGAGAGCTTCTACTCTCCGGAGAGCCATTTATAATGAATGAATGGGCCCTATAAGACCTGCAGTCCAAAACCTTTGATGCAATCCCCAGCAACTTCTTGAAATTGGCACTAAAAACAAGTCAGCATGTATGCATTCCCATGTTAAAATGCCCAATTTCAGCTGTGAGAACAAGTTTGGAGCCTGCAAAAGAAACAAACAACTATTGTGGTTTCTAGGGCTAACTTAACTTTACAAAGCTGTCCAGTGGATTTTTTAATTTAAATACCGTGCCTTGACTTCAGATAACACAGGCAGCTGTTGCTGATAGTGATCTCCTATTTTACTGTAATTATTTGAGAAGTAATATCATCTGGTTTATGGATGCATCTTGGTGCTGAACTACTGCAGAAAAGAAATACTTCACAGGAGAATAAGAAAACAAAATTTCACTGCATTTCATTGAGTTTCATTTCAGTTCAGGAATATAATCAATACTGTAACTACAAACAATTAAAAATGGGGCTGCTTTGTCTGGAAGTGCATGTAGAAAAAAGAAAAAAGAAAAAGCAATTTAGCTCCATTCATTCCTATTCACAGTAGACTATATTAGAACAGGCTCCCCACTATATGCACTGTATCATGTGCTGCTCTGCACAAGATTTCAGGAAAACATGTGAGTATGTTGTGACCAGTTTGGATCCTTCCCATCCAGTTTCATACTCTGGCTCTAAATATTTCAGGCTAGTCTTGGATGAAATTCAGTCAAATTTGAAATTTTCTGTTGCCCCAAAAAACAAAACAACACTATAACATGTATTACTTTTATAAAAGTCTCCATTCACTTCTCACAAACCTGTTTTAAGGTCGAGATGAAGCTCATCGGAGGAGGGGTTGAAAGGTCGAGATAAGGTTATCCACATCTCGAAACTCTGCCCCCTGCGGATGATTAAATTATCACTTTGGTAGAGATGAGTGTGATGCTCTGTGCGATTCGCCCCTGATTTGCTTTTCAGGAGGTCTATTGACTTCACTTTGAGAAGGACTTCTGAAGAAAAGAAAAGAAAAGAAAAAACATAGGACAGGTTGAAGTATTTCATATTGTTGGCATTTCTTCCCTTTTGGGGGGGGGTTAAACAGTGGCTATATGGAGTCTCTCTAATCACCGTCAACCTCTTTGTCACCAGGCACAGGTTTCTCGCCGTTTCCCCCGTCCTCCTTACCCGGCCCATCAACCAGCGTGACCTCAGTGTCTATGGCATCATCATGCTTGGGACAGCAGCATGGGCAGACCTTACGCAGCCACTCCTTGCATGCATTTCCTTTTTTAACATTGTTTTCCTTTGGCTCTTCTTTTTCTGCCTCTGTGTCCTCCTCAAATCCAAAAGTGACAGATGGAAAGCGACCTACTGCAGATCTGCCTCTTGCTGATCGCCTCTCTGCAGGCATTCTGGAGAAAAAAAATTTATAAAGAACAACAATTAGATAATCAATGACTTTGGTATTAATAATAGTTAACATCCCAGCCTTTACAAATACTTCTATGCATATATTTCTTTTCACAACTGTTCAAAAAAATGGTCATAAATGATTAAGGTACCACAGTAAGTGATCTAAAAGGTAATCCATTGTCCAGTTACTGTGAACAAAGACAAGAAGGGTCTTTTCATCAGCTAAGTTCAGCAGTATTTTTAATCCATCAAAGCTTCAGTATCTTATGATCTAAGCTCACCGGCTCATTACTGATGGATTCTATGCATCATGTCTTTGCTTCAGTGTGAGAAATTGCTGATTTAAGTCCTTTGAAATAAATATAAAAAAACCAGAACATAATCTTGCAGTGAAACTCTACCCTAACATATTATTTCCCAGAGTGCAACATATGGGGGGGGAAAAAAGAAGAAAAATCAGATTGAAAATACATTCAAATGTAGAAGTATGGTAACCTCAAGAAAGTATTATAAATATTAAATATTATTCATATTAAACTGCAACCATTTCTACTGTTTATTGGTTATAGTCAGTGATTTCCATGTTGCTTGACTCCTTACAGATAGTCTTTCAACAATTTCTTTATCTTAGCTAACCATCTGAACGACTGAATGCCTGCTCTTAAACAGAGAATATTCATTATCCTTTACCATTATCCATAAGAATGTCTATTAACTGGAGAAACATGTCTGGATTTCTGCTGCAACATTCGGTGTAAACAACATGAAAACGTCCATGATCTATCTTGCCTTGAAACAACAATTCATGCTGCTGGTAATAATGTCATAGTGTGTACGGGATATTTTCTTAACACACTTTAGGCCCCCTTAATACTGACTGAACATTTTTTAAATGCCAGAGTCTACCTGAGCATATTGCTGACCACGATCACCTCTTTATGACTCAAATTGGACAGTGATTGGACTCATCTCCAACGGGGATGAGTCTGCCTACAGGAGGGTGGTTGAACGTCTGGTGTCCTGGTGCAGCCACAACAACCTGGTGCTGAATGCCCAGAAGAGTGGAGATTATTGTGGACTTCAGGAAGCACACCACTGTGGACTCATTCCACTTCCTGGGTACCACCATCACCCAGGACCACAAGTGGGAGCCCACCATCACCTCCATCATGAAGAAGGCCCAGCAGAGGATGTACTTCCTGAGGCAGCTGAAGAAATTCAACCTGCCAACACGGACGATGATGCAATTCTACACTGAAATCATCGAGTCCATCCTCACCTCCTCCATCACCGTGTGGTACGCTGGAGCCACTATCAGGGACAAACAGAGACTGCAGCATGTTGTGCGCTATGCTGAGAAGGTGATTGGCTGCAGACTCCCATCTCTGCAGGACCTTTACACCTCCAGGACACTGGGGTGTGCAGCTTGGATCACAGCTGACCCTTCTCACCCTGGACACAGTCTGTTTGACCTGCTCCCCTCAGGCAAAAGGCTCTGGTCCATTTGGACCAAAACCTCTCACCATAAGAACAGTTTCTTCCCCCCTGCTGTTGGACTCATGAACAATAACCATATGACTGTTCACAACGCAAACACATGAATCTATACTGTGTTCTCTGCATCTGTTCCATTTTTGCACTGATCATCATTTATGTTTATTTAAGTGTTGTCTTACAGTATGTTTTGCACTACGTACCGCAGCAATTTCCCAATGCTGTGAACCTGCTCAACATTTGGCAATAAAACCCTTTCTGATTCTGAAATGGAGCACCAACCTTGAAAATGTGGTGGAATGGGAGCTTTTAATCACATCCACAAATTTGTAGGAGCTAACGATGCTATCACATCATTATGAACCAAAAACTGTGAGGAATATTCGTTCCTTCATTTATGAATCATTGATTTGTTTTCAAGGAGAAACTCAAACGTGTTTTGATACAGCCTAGTCTGTCTCTAAATCTTTAAACTACTTTGTTCAACTTAGTTCTGTATGCATAAAGAATGATTCCCCCCCCCCGGCAAGACTTAGGGGGGGTGTTTTGACTCTGCAGTAGGCTACCCTCAGGAGAATTCTGTAGCTGATCCTCTGAAGCTGATTTATGAGTCTGTGAAAGCATTTGGGTGGTCCTCTGGGGAACTGAGCACATGTTCTTATCCACAGCTGTGCAATGACAAAGAATTTTGTCATTGCAAATTTCAAAGAACACAGTCGTTTGTCACCTCTTAAGAAGAAACATTACACACAGGGTACATTTCTCAGGTGAACTACAATCATCACAACTATTTCTCTCCCTCTCTCTGTGCTTTGCTCACTTCACTCTGATTTGTCTTGCACATTTTTCTTCCTTCGAAGAAATACTATAAACCTTCTAAAAGCCTTTCACACCCACACTTTACATTCCTCGACATCAGCGACTGTTTCATTTTCACCAAATAGGTTCAAACAATAATAAGACTGACAATGAGTTCGGTTCTTATTCATATGTCGAGAGGTCTGAGGGGTTAAAATAAATTGCAAGCAGCCTCAGCATTGGTGACGAAACACCTCCACCCAGGTAGGAACTGGGCGTCATATTTACTGATGGCAGATAGCCAACTAAAAACTGCTTAACAAAACAATGTAGAAACAAAGACACACATTTATCTACACACACAGAAACTGATTTATTGCCTAGCAACAAAACACTTTTTAAAAATATATGTATGTGTATATATATTGTACTCCACACAGCTACATTTATTAAAGATAAAGTGGTTTTTTCCCCCCCTTTTTCTACAGTCAATACAGCAAATCAATTTGTTCAATCAAGGTTCAAGAGAAGTAACCAGAATACCTACAATGTTGTGCCATTACAGTTTTAGCAGACTTGTATTCTACTGATATTTTCTCTGTTTAAAGAGTTTAATTTGACACAAACAATGTAAAGCTTCAGCTGTTGAACTAATTTTCTAACTAAATAAGTACAAACATATAAAAACATAACTGTTTTCATTCTTGTTTAGAGAAACTGAAGATCCTTTTTGCCTACAGAGCATTTTAACAGCATGTGCTGAAAGGTCTGCTAAAACGCTACTTCTTTTTAAAATGTTTTAAATTGTTATAAGTTAATTCAAGATGGGTCATCCATTCAAGTCATCATTTCTAGTAAAAAAAAAAAAGTGAATATCGACACATTTACAAAGTTATAAAGTTATCTAAAAATAAGCATGCAAATAACCTAAAATAATTGCAGAAAATCCTCCTGCACTGAATAGCAGGAGCTAATGTAAATGTCAATAGCTTTGCATATATTTGTTGAAAACAAAAGAATCGAATACGATAAAAGTTATCCATCGAGATTGGCCCACAGTGGGTACAATGAACCAGACAAAATCTATATTCTAGATGACAGCACTTACTAATTACTCTCGATAGACTTGCTCTATAATAGCTGGGATAGATTACAGCCTGCCCGTGGCCCTGATAAGGATAAGCAGAAGAGAATGGATGGGTGAATGGATGAATGTACTCATTGTCTATACGTTCCTTTCTTTTAGAAAACAACACATATTCTCAAAACTAGAAATTTAAGGATAATAACAAAGAAAGAGCCCCAGAAACCTTTTATGAACTTCATATCCAGATTTTTGTGATGAACTAGACTATTGTTCTGTAAAATTTAATTAATCACGCAGCGGCACAACAACATATAAGATATACTTAACTTGTTTTTTGGAAATAAATCCATTTGGATGTTTATCTGGTTAGAGGGCAGTAGCCCAGGCAAACTCATTCAACCTCACCACCACACCTATGTCCAGTTTAGAATCACCACTTAACTGAACATTCACATCTGTGAACTTACCAAAAGAAAGAATGCACGTGCACAGAGGCTTGAACCTTGAACGTTACTGGGGTAACAGTGCTGACCAGCACACTTTTATTGTTTGTTGATTTAGTATAGTAAAAATCCCATGCCAGCAGAATGGCTAAAACGTTAAATTAAGCTGTTTTTTCACCCTCCAATTGACACTTAATAAGTTACATCTGTATAGTAGGCCTGTATGAGGGCCTACTATAGGTTTAGGAGACACACAGAATAGACATAGCTCCTGTTAGTTTGCTTGCAGGATGATGTTATATTAAATAATCTGTCAAATGTAAAATTTTGAGATAAGGGGAACTTTCATGAAGCTGCCCATCAGTGAGAAGGAGACAGCCGATTGTCATTACTTCTTCAGCTGCTGTTTTACACTCTAACTAATCAGAGCATATTTTCTCTGGCTGGCAGTGGCACATCTTGGATGACTGAACCAATGAGCAACTGAAACTGGCATTTATTTAATGATAGTCAAATGTCAGATTCTTAGTTTACCCTCATGACTTTAGCAGTTGATGTAAAAGACCCGAGTGTTATTCATTAAAGCTGGGTATTTTCCTTCAGGAGGGTGCTGAGCAGTAAGCATCCACAGCTGCACTCATGACCTCTTTGACCACAGGACCGTTTGTTTTGAAACACAAGGAGAAGTTCTGATATCTATTTCGCATTACAATTAAACTGACAGGAAATGATCACTGTATTTATTGAACTGTTATGCGTAATTTGGCAAATCTAATAGCTATTAAGGTGCTACTGTGAATCATATCTAATATGTACAGCATACAGATATTTTTTGAGGAATTCCCTGTGAAGAAAAATACATTAATGTAAAAAATTGATTGAAAGCAAGAGCTAATCTCACAGGAAATAGAAATGTCAATGAGCCTTTTCATTATTTTTTCATTAATACACAATCCTGACATGGCAACTGAGGTAGCAATATGTAACTGCGTTAGAGCCATACTCCTTTTCCCTATTAATGAATTACTTGGTTGAAAAAACTAATGTTTAGAAGAACAATTGAATGAATGTGAGCTAAATACAGTAAACATTGTTAGGAACACAAAGTGTAAATCTGTCTGAGCTACATAGCAAGTATAGAGTTCAAACTCACTCAGTTCAGTTTGAGAAGAAATGTGAAAGAAATGCAGTCTGGAGGGAGAAATCTTGTCTTCGATGTGCCTTTCTCTTTCTTAAACAAGCTTCAACTTCAGAGCTGCTTTAAATACTTGGCTAAGACTCAGGGGACACGCCTTTCTGTTGCACATGGAGCAGTCGGGCCAGATATTTCTCCAGACGCTGAAGCAACAACAGAAATTATTTAGGCATGGCACAAGCAGCCTTTTAAATATTACGAGAGAAAATACATTTTTCTTGTCACTCTTGGTATGAACTATATCGAATAAGTTATGCAAAAACTGACACTGTCTCCAGTTTCAAAGATTTTAGTTAGTAACAAATTTTCACCTGTGCCTCTCCCACTTTCACACAAAACAGGTTAATCCTCGGTAAGACAGTGAGAACACACCTCCCTGCTGCACTAGCATCAATCATGTCAAATGTTTAACCAGAAGCCAACGTCAGAGCAGGTGAAATCAAACATCCACTTAAAAATTTTTCCACTATTGGAAAATATGACAGTTTGAGAAACTGGGCTAGTTTCTTGTTCTCTTCAGTATTTCTCATCTTAATTATGTTAAAAAGTTCATTGTTTTTTAACATATGGAAAATGAATAAGTTAAGTAGAAGTTTGAATGGTTCTCTGTGTTGTTGACCCTGCGACAGCCCTCTTGCTCTATGGCAGCTGACACCCTCGTGACCATGAATTGGATAAGAGGAGAAAGCTGGACGAATGTTTTTGGACTTTTTGTTTGTTTTCGACAGTTAAAGTTACAAACTCTGTACCCCGTTATATTTAACGTGATTAGCTGTTCCAGTAAAGTAAAGAATTCTTTATATAAAGATGAATGCACAATAAAAAAGATGACATTTTCTGCTTTGACACATGACAAAAACCCATCCTTCAGCAAAGTGGCATGATATGAAAACCTTTGACCTACCTGATGGCACATGTGGGATGCCTGCTTCGAGGAATATGTGAACCGGAAGGGAGTGGATGCCCACTCACTTTTATGCAACAGACATGACCACTGACTGGTTGAGTTGGTTTTCACTGATTGATAGGTAAATGAATGCTGAATAAAGCCTAATCCTATTAAGAGAGCAATTAATGAAGCGTAAAACCCCAATGAAAGTCATGTAACAATATTCTTCCTGATACCACTGGATACAAGAATTCAATAAACAGAGAAGACTTCACTATACATAGTGTGGAAAATGTTACTGACTGTGGTTCAGATGCTACAGGGTCCAGTAAACAAAGCACTGGTAATTTAGTCCCCTCCACATCCCAAGATGACCTTGGGTAAGATGGTGGACCCCCTGAAAGCTCTGCAGCCATTACTGCTTTGTGACAGTGTGTGGGCGTAAAAGGTTGAATGAGAAACACACTCTAAAGCACTTTGGACTGTTAAGCTTTAAAAGTACTTTACCAGTGAAAGGCATTTAGCATAGCATTACAGGCAAAGCAGAAACTTCTTTGCCGTGCTAAAGTAGATCTTGAGATGATCAGTCGATTCAAGAGGCTCCCAAAACCTTCCTTTCAGGAGTTTACATTGGGGGCGGGGGGTTATTCAATGATTTCCAACTTTTCATGTTGCTCAGCAGATTAATAATAACAAGACTGACAAATGATGTGATGATTATTATCTTGATTAGCTTTAAGGCATGGAAAAATGCTCATGTTAACAGCTTGTGACGTCATTGTATGACTGCAGAATTGTTTACATGAAGATGAAAACATAACACCGTTATAACCCTTACATAGTGTTCATATTTGATGCCTGCATATGGTCCAGGTTAATTTTGACCCAGGATGAGAATTTGCTCATAAATTTTCAACTGCAGATCTATTTGAACCATATGCATAACCTATGTGACAATAATAAATGGATGATTAATCCTTAATTAATGTTTCAGAGACCAGGGAGAGTGTGTTTTTCTTCATTTTTATTATTATTATTATTTTATTTCATTTTTTGATACCCCGTCAGTCAGTTTTAGCAAGCGTGGTCTGAATACTTAGTTGTGAATTTCAATTAACTTCTGCCTCTAAGTTGTAATTTTCAGAACACCTTCACCACTTCACTACAGTCAGGTAACATTAGATATTTAGGTATAGATCTCTCAGACTGGGTACAGGTAAAATACATTTGTCTTCTTAAAACGGTAGAAGATGATCTCACATGCTGGAAAACTTTACCTATATTTTTGAAGGTGAAAACGGGATAAGAATTTTGGACCTTTTCGGACTTAGATACATGTACTACCATTACAACGATTAAAGCCTATCCTCGCCACTATCATAAAAAATTGTTGTAATACCATTTATAAATAATAATATGAAATCAACAGTAATAAACATTAAATTTATATTAAAAACACCAAACAACTAGTCTGTATTTAAAGAAATGATAAGAAAACGTGTGCCTCTGTATGAAATCTGTTCCTTATGTGTACCATACATAATGACTTTATGCTGTTTTACTATTTCACTGTTGCCAAGGCCAAGAATTAAAGTCCTCTTTGAACTCTGTCAGCTCTCTCCTATATAAAATAGACACGATATACAACATGTTCAGTTTCTGAAGATTTTCTGAAACCATAACTGTCTTTGACTTTGCCCAGACCACACTTTCACATTACATACTAATTTGGTAAGGGTCTTGAAACGCCCTCTTAAGGTAACTAGTAGCGGAGGTAAACTAGCAGCACAACCTTGCCCTAAACCTAACTTTAAAAGCCCGTACATGTAACAATTAATGTCAAGTAGGCATAATGTGCAGCTATATACGTATCTTGTCTATACTTCTTAGCCAATTCAGAGACAGCTGCCAGGGGGTAAGAACAGTTGCATTGTAAGTTACAATCACAGCTTGAATGCCTAAAACTCCTTACAGCTTTTTGAGTGCAGCATAACCTTCAAGAGGTGCCAGGCTGACAGTGACTATGACAAACATTTCTTTGAGTACAAAGGTGTGCCATGTTTCTAATTCACTTTTCTCAGCTTCTTTTATTGCTTTTAGACACTCCCAAAGAAAAGTTTTCGCCTAACGCAATTCCTTCTTAAAAATGACATCACAGTCAAACAAACCTGATGTGTTGCAAAATCCCAGCTCTTCACTCGAAAAGGCAAACGAATGAACAATGAAGGTGGCATCAGTTAAGGGTGGACCGGGTGACACACTGCTAGTCGCTCTGGCACACCTGAGTTTGGAATCATACATAAAAGTAGATACATATTTTTTCAGGCCTGTCATATAAGCCTACTCAAAAAGAAAAAAATGATCAATGGAAGGAGGATAATATCTACTTAATTTTCCTAAAGATTGCTCAGACCTCCAGTTGGGTGTGAAATTTAGGTGCTTCTGGATTTGAAGTTCATCCAAGCATAATATAGACTCTATGTTTAAGTGCCCAGCTTTACATTAGAAAAAATATATTTGCAGCCTAGTAAAACAATTAAACAAGAGGACAAAAACAACTGTTTTGGTCTCTATAGCTATTTTCTCTGTTTTTTATAATCCACCTGCTTTCATTTAGTTTAGACTTAAAGTTAGCCTTGGCCACCTTGACTGACAGGTGTGGCAGCACTGGCAGCTGAAGCCCAACCCTTTCTGCACCCTGTCACCTTTGCTAATTGGAGTCACAGAACTGAACGTTCTATACCTGTGGTGCATTTCGAAGCTTCTGTAATAGAGTTAACTGACAAATAACATGCACAACCCAAGTACAGCACATCTAAAAAGTCTTTGCTCCAGTTCCAGTGAGTCGGATATTTCTTTTGTATGGTCATTTCCACTATGCACCTGGCAGTTTATAATTAATGAATACTGCTCCTAAACATGGCCACATCTGGGTAAAAAAGAAAAACTAACCACCAAGGCTTTAAAATGAAGATTTCGGGAGTTTAGAGTAAGTACTTTTTTGTTTTGTTTTGAAAGACATTTAACGCTCTTTTTTGGGATGTTGGCTGACTTTTCCCCCAATTCCTGTTAAAATGATCCCATACTGCTTTAATACTTGCCTGTGCCCTGGGTATGAGTCTACTGCTTTGGCAGTGTGTTTGAGATCACCGTTATTAATGAAGTCGTCGCCAAATAGATGCTTTTTTGCATGGTGGCTCAAAATCTGACTATACTTATCTGCATTCATAATTCAATCAACTGTGCTTTTCAGCCACTGGCTGAAATTCAGCCCCATAACAGAACCTCCACCATGATTTACAGACGGTAGACACACCCTTATACCTATTTCCTGGCATCCTGTGTATATACTGACAACAATTTGTGAGTCCAAATTTTTTTATTCATCACTCCTTAAGACCCGCTACCAGCTATTCTCAATCCATTTCTTGTGTGATTGGTATACGACGGCCTTTTCTCCCCATTTCCCTTCATTTCTGATGAGACTTCAGCACACAGTAGATGAATCAACTAAAGGCCAGATGCACCTCTCCTGTGTCAGGTCTTTGCTGGATTTTTGGATATTTCTTAAGGACATGACTTTCATATACTCTTCACTGTAGATGTTTTTTAAGCTTCCCACTTCTTCATTCTTTACAAAAAATCTTTAGGGATACCCTACACACCATCCTGATATATATGACACAAGCACATTAAGTTAATAATGTTTTTGGAATCACCTTGGTGGAGCAAAAATGTTGTCGTATACCTGCCAAACTGCATTATCGAACTACTGTTCAAGACCAAGAAAGTCTGGCTGGTACTTTACATTGTAGTTGAGCTCCACCACATCCTCACCAGTATTACAGAAATGAGACAGTTAAGATCAAAATGTGAGTTAACCATTATGAACCTTTACTTTAAGGCATGCATTTTTCTTTCAGTGGAAAAAAGTCACAAGAGGCTTACTGGAAGGCAGTGACACAATGTGTGCTGTTTATTACTGGATCTGTGACTTACTGTGCAACAGTATAATGTCATAAATCAAATGCATTAACCGACCTTAAAAAAAATCTGCAGAGAGTGATGCAATACTCTGATCACCCAGTATAACGTTTTCTTTAAAGTCAGCCATTAAGCTTTTGGAAGCAATAA